TTACATGGCGGACGAGAGAGCTGCCATGAAGGCTGAAAAGTGACTCTGTTGGGGGGATTTTGCTATCTGAATGGTCATTGTATTAATATCAATGTTAATGAGTTCCTCAAGAGATGAATTCACCCTTAAGTAGCACAACTCCGTGACACATGTTTCTGTTGGTTTCCGGCCGCCATCCGGATGGGCACCAACATTGCGTCTCCATATAAAGGTCTATAAATGTAAGTAAAAAAATTCTCCGAATTTCTCGCGCTTGAAAAATTGCACCGACCTGAATTTTGGCGAGGGCCTTTGTATATTTACCTAAACGGTTTTGATTTTTATTTTTAATAGCATGACAGTGAAAACCATCAATAGCGTTACATTTTTTCTACATGTAAATGTGAACGCAATTTTCTTTAATCATTTAGCAAAGTTTGGCTGATGAGTATGAAGTTAAGGGGGATCAACAGTCTATACACCAAGACCAAGAAGACATTGCAGTGTGTCCGCAACATAGCAACAAAGATGTCGTTCTTGAAGTGATTCCATCGACTTCCACCGAAGTAGATGTAAGACGAAAACAAAATCACCATAATTAATTATTCACTAATAAAGAAGAATTTTCCTCTAGGACGACTTATTTTGCTTACGTTTCACGTTAGAGGGAGATAACGTGATCTTGGTGTTCCTGTGCCACTACTGTGTTTCGTTGATGGTGTACCTTTTCTGCGCTGTCTTGGATTTACGTTTCAGCGTCTTGTTTTCATTCTCTTGAGCTATTTTCAGTTGCGGGCTTGTGACTTCCAGAACGATGGCTGATATAAGGAATCGTCTAGTAAAATGGTGTTTTTGTTGCCTTTGTTGTTTTTAGTCAGAAGGACGTGTATCAGCAGGTGACCGAGGCTTTCTGGGTAAACATCAAACTGTGGGCGTGGATTTTCATCCTAGACTTGAAAACAGTACCCTGGACCCAAAGTAAATTTTATCTAGCTCTAAATTGATCACTTTGAGTTACTTTCAATAGATAATACTTGTATATTCCTTGGCTCTTGTCTGGCTTAAACAAATTATGTTATTTTTATCTTTTTATTCGTTAGTTACTTATTTACGAACAAGGAAAGTAATTACTTGAAAGCTGTGCTGTTTCAAGCTAAACCAAAGATTTGATAGTTTTTTTTATCAATTTAATTAGGATGAGGAATTCAAAGTAACTGACAAAGAACTTCTAACCAGGCCATCGGCATCACTAGGAAAAAATCAAGCTTCTGCAATGCCACTTTCAATTGAAAAGCTAGAGGAGTCAGACGAGGATCCTTGTGACATAGAGGAGAACTTTTCTACCAAACAACTGTTTTCATTTGCCTGGCAAATCGCTAAAGGAATGGTAATTATCTTTGTTTTCTGGATAATGTTGCTGGGATTCTGGTTCTGAGTATAACTTGGAAAGAAGAATTCAAAAGTCAAAATTTTATAAACATGAAATAGATGGGATAAATATATTGGCTGTTTTTTTAGATATGAGTACATTAAAATGGCTTATGTGGAAAAAAATATTCTTTTCAGTCGACCCAGTTTTGGCTACATTCGTTTCGTTATGTATCTAAACGAAAATATCTGGATCAGATCAGTGCCGATATTTACTTTTCATTTGTATTTTTTCATCTATACCTAACTACTTAATGTTCGGCGTACCCCCGTTATTATGTTTTGAGATCATTTTAATCGTTTTTTCGTTTCTTATTTGTTATTAGAATCATCTCGCCGAAAACAATCTTGTTCACAGAGACCTTGCTGCCCGTAATGTTCTTGTTGGCCATGACAACCGGATTAAAGTGTCAGACTTTGGGTTGATGAGACAAATCTATGAAGATGTGAGCAGCTCAGCGAAGTCCAAAAAACTTCCTGTAAAGTGGATGGCCCCAGAATCACTTTATCAAGGCCTTTACACGACCAAAAGTGATGTGTGAGTGATAAGTTTTCCCGCTCCCTTGACAAGGGAACTATTGAAACGTTTCTACTGAGTCACTTCTGAAAATTGTAGTTGCCGTAAAAATTACAGAAGTATATAACTCTGAAGCGCCTAAATTCTCCTTATTTGTTTGTAACCATGCTAGGGTTGGTTTTTAGCCGTCCAATCAGAAGCACGGAAAATTGTTTGCCCAAAATTAATATAGAATCATAGCATTGAAGGCATCCTTGTCTAAATATAGCTAAACACGGATTCTTCCAGGCTTTAACAATTCTCCGATTAATAATAATAATAATAATAATAATAATAATAATTATAATAACAATAACAATAATAATAATAATAATAAATGCGCTTCACAATACAATCACAGAGTGGGAAACTGGGCACCGTTGCATAAAACGCCCGTAACAACTACGGGTATACGTACGCACAGTCGTAACTTAAGTGAGTTGCGTTAAATCACTTAAAGTGGTCCACTTAGGGAATTCACTTAAGTGTCGTTTATGCAACAGAAATTGCGGGTGTTGCATAAAACTTTTCTTACGGGAAAAATAGCATGTAAATTTACAGGACCTATGTAGGTCCCGTATCGTTACTGGTTTTACTAAAGTGAACGAGATCTTTCATTGAGAAGTGAAAAAAAGTATTTTTGTTCACGTAATTCGCTCTAATGCTCTTTGTTAACCTCTGATGTACACTTTAAAGCCGACGCTGTGAAAAAAGAAGAGGAACTATCATTTTCAGTAGATATTGAAGAAAAATAACGTTTGCATGCAAATCATTCATTTTTTGAGAGGCTTAAAAGTGTTCGAAACAACTGAAAACTTTCTTTACACTCACCGATGGCTAGCTTAAAAAAAAAGAGTGAGTCATTAATAAAGTACTATATCAAAGTTACGTGTGCCTTTAAGTGAGTCCGTAAGTTGCCACGTAAAACAGTAATTTACGAGAGTGCTAAGTGCGTTCCATGCAACACACGTAAGTGTACCCATAACAGATTCGTAAGTGACCTACTTAAGTGGGCACTTAAGTGTAGGTTTTATGCAATCGGGCCCTGGATACAATAACTAATACTACTATAGAAAAAATATAAAAAAATACAAATAAAATAAAACCGCATGCTTCTACTAATACTTATACTAATACTACCTAATAATACTACTATATGATAAAAATGCTTAAGGAAAAAGGTGCGTCTTTAGCTTTGATTTTAAAATGTCCGACGACTTAGAGTCTCTGAATTCAAATGGCAATGCATTCCAGAGTTAAGCAAGAGGGTCAGGGGAACCCAACGACAATTTTCAGAAAAATATCTGCTCGGAAGACGATTTGAGATCTAGAATTTTCGGAACATTTGTTGTAAAATTTCTTGCTTGCCTGCCTCTCCTAGGGTTTTCGAACATCTAAAATATGGTATAATTGCATATTTTTAACAGAATTTTACCCTAAAAAGGTCACCTAGAATTTTCGGGAGCCTTTTTTCTGGCTGAAATTTTCGAAAAGGTAAGTTTTGATCCCTATAATTTTTGGATCACTAGACTTTCAGCTAGGAAATCCGAACAGATGAAAAATTTTTAGGGGATAAAATTATGCCTTTATCTACCGTTTAAATACTAAAATACGTTTAGCAATGCTATTTTTAAGTGGTTTTGAACTATATTCTCGTTGGGTGCCCCTGGAGGGTGTCACTAGAACGTCTCAGGTTATAGCATGACTGAGGCTTCAGAGATATCAGTGACTCCCAGTACGTGAGAGCTGTGCCATGCAAGATCTTAAAAGTTAACAGAAGAATCTTGATTACAATTCTAGAGTGAATCGGTAACCAATGCAACTTAATAAGGAGCGATGTTATGCGACAATCTACCCTCAGTAAATATCAGCCTAGCACAGGCATTCTGCACACGTTGTTATTTGATCAATGAGCAGCTTGGCAGACCATACAATAAAAACTGTTACATTAGTCACGACGAATTGATATGAAAGCGTGAATAAGTGACTTTGCTGACTTCTTGAAGAGATACTTCCGAATCCGACGTAAGTTATTCAAATAGTAGAATGATGAACTGCAACTTTTCGAAATATGTTCGTCATAGAGAGAGATGCATCTAACCACGAGCCAAGGCTCCTAGCGACAGGCACAGGGTGAATGTTAGTGTTACCTACTCGAATATGAGTGATAACTACCTTCTCAAGCTTTTGCGGGGTACCTATTAGAAGAAGTTCAGTTTTTTCGTCATTTAATTTAAGATTGTCATGCAACATCCAAGAACGAATATTAGTAATGCAACTTTCCAGTAACTCTCCAGCATTAAGTTGATCGAGCCTGTCGTTTGGGCAGAATGAGATGTATACCTGCGTGTCGTCAGCTTAAAAATAAACCGTAGGAAAATGATGTTTGATGATCTCGAAGAGTTTGCTCGAATGCAGAGTAAATTATAAGGTGCCTAAACAGGAACCTTGAGGGACAGCACATTGCAACTCGAATTCTGCGGAGAGTGCCCCATTGAAGGCTATTTGCTGAGACCTTCCGGACAGGTAAGACGAAAACCAGGAGGGGACTTTGCCATTTATACCAAATGTGAACCGAAGTCGATGCAGTAAAGTGTCGTGATCGACAGTGTCAAAAGCCACACTTAAGTCGAGGAGAAGAAGCAGAGTGACACGTTGATCGTTCATGTTAAGGAGGATGTCGTTAGTGACTTTGACAAGTACTGTTTCTATGCTGTGTTTGTGACGATAAGCTGATTGCAGAACAGGGAAGAGATCATTGCTGAATAAATAATGTCGAAGTTGCTTGGCGACCGCAGTCTCCACAATTTTTGAGGCATATGCGAGGTTACTCACAGGTCTATAGTTCTTAAAGAAGGGATCGAGACCCTCCTTCTTTTGCAGTGGTTTAACAAAGCGCCCTTTCAGATAAGAGGAAAATAGCCTGATTCCAGCGAAAGTTTAATTTCGTAATTGGAGGAGGAAATACATCAAGACACTCAGTAAAAAGCCTAGTAGGATTTGAGTTAAGAGAACAAGTCGTCTTTGTCGATGATTTGATTAATTCATGAACTTCGGTTTCAGAAAGAAGACGAAATTCAGAAAAAGAGGGGCCTTCAAGTGCAAAGTGGGATTCGTTAACATCGGAAGTGCTACACTGGCGAGCAATCTCAAGCCTAATGGAGTTAATTTTGTCACGGAAGAACTTGTCAAAATCTTTAGCCATTAATTGATTAATATCGGAATGTAGAGGGAGACTGGCACACTTCGATAGGTTAAGCAGTGATTTACATGCAGTGAACAGTTTCCTCTCGTTGAGACAGTTTTCACCTAAATTTTTCAATTACATCCAAAACTCAAAAGTACACGCATTTTGGGCTCGTCCACGACAAATAGAACGAATTAAGAGATAAACAGGGAAATAAACAATCTAAATATCGCGAATCTGTACATATTTCTAACCTCTTCGTTTTTTTTTCATAGTTGGTCTTTTGGTGTTGTTCTTTGGGAAATGGCTACCTTGGGTGAGTAGACGGTAATTTTGCAGTTAATTCTTGTCATGTTAATTTTGAGGTGACTGACAAATAAAAAAACATTTTTCATGGTCTATGACTCTTATCAACCGTAGAAATGATGTCAAAAGGTTGAAAACTCATGTACCACCCGCAGGATAATGGTTCACACTGCAAAGTTTTGAGCTTCCAAGGGAATTAAGCTAGGGGACCGTGCCTGAACCCACCTTCCCCCTTTTGCCATGGTGCGATGTAACTTAACTGTACGACTGTTATCAAGGTTACTGCTACCAGGAAGGGCGAAAACAATGTTTCATAATGTTTCATTTGCGGCAAGTTTGAATTTTCTTGTTTGATCTGGGCTCTGTTTTAATTGATTAAGTGCTGTGAGACGTCTCCTAGTTGATAACCGTATGTGACAACAGGTATTAAATTTGCGAGGATTTCAGTAATGACTGGAGACGAGAAGCCTTATTGTTAATCACCCTGCCTTCTTTTATTACACATTTAACTGCACTGGCTATATATCAGACCTCCATTCAATCAACCATTTTTGCAAAATGGCCTTATTGAGTTTATATAAGGAGAAGTGACAATCGACTAAGGCATCTTTAATAGAAATCTGTCTAATGGAAAATTGCATGTATTCAGTTGCCGATATGTAATCACTTGTTTTTTTTCTCGCAATCGTCAGGAGGCGTACCATACCCCACGCTGACCAACTCAGAGTTGTATCGATTGCTCGGTACTGGTTATCGCATGGAAAGGCCTGACATGTGCTCCGATGACGTGTACGTTTCTTGATTAGAGTGTGGTCTTAGATTTAACAGATTCGATTTTCTATGCGTCTGCTCAGTTACATTACACACCGAACTGTGCAACATACGAATTCATCAAATATTTTAAAGCCTTCTTTGATCATATTAAATACTGATTAGACGGACGGCAACAGAAAACTTTTGTTAAGATCCTCACTCTTTGAGGAAACCCTCCAAGCTTTATGGTCAATAAAGGCATCATTAGCAGTGATCAGGTTAATCTCTTTCTTGGGGCCGGGGGGAGTACTCCCTGTACTGGGGAGGCACCCCCCAAAAGGGGTACCCCTCTCAATCGTCTGGTGTAGGAATTTTGCTAGTCGAAGTATATGATCTGTAAAATGACTTAAGAGGACCAGATAAGATTTTTTGGCTGTGAAAAAGTCGAGCAAATTTTCTAGTTTGTTATTTATTCATATTAAAAAGGAAGTGCATTTTTCAGTAATGAAAAGGGATAAAGTTAAAGTTCTTTTCTGTCAAAAATGATACTCAAAAGGATAAGGGGTTGGACCTCAGGGCAGAGCTCTAAATAATAATGGCTGGATGAAGGAATGGGGAATCACGTGATAACCTTAACGTTCCAAGAGCCCATTTTAATGGGCTTTACGTGGAAGCTTCACCCAAAAGGAGTACCTTTTTAGGCCACATGAATATGGAAAAGTAGGAATTTCACGAGTATNACTGCAAAGTTTTGAGCTTCCAAGGGAATTAAGCTAGGGGACCGTGCCTGAACCCACCTTCCCCCTTTTGCCATGGTGCGATGTAACTTAACTGTACGACTGTTATCAAGGTTACTGCTACCAGGAAGGGCGAAAACAATGTTTCATAATGTTTCATTTGCGGCAAGTTTGAATTTTCTTGTTTGATCTGGGCTCTGTTTTAATTGATTAAGTGCTGTGAGACGTCTCCTAGTTGATAACCGTATGTGACAACAGGTATTAAATTTGCGAGGATTTCAGTAATGACTGGAGACGAGAAGCCTTATTGTTAATCACCCTGCCTTCTTTTATTACACATTTAACTGCACTGGCTATATATCAGACCTCCATTCAATCAACCATTTTTGCAAAATGGCCTTATTGAGTTTATATAAGGAGAAGTGACAATCGACTAAGGCATCTTTAATAGAAATCTGTCTAATGGAAAATTGCATGTATTCAGTTGCCGATATGTAATCACTTGTTTTTTTTCTCGCAATCGTCAGGAGGCGTACCATACCCCACGCTGACCAACTCAGAGTTGTATCGATTGCTCGGTACTGGTTATCGCATGGAAAGGCCTGACATGTGCTCCGATGACGTGTACGTTTCTTGATTAGAGTGTGGTCTTAGATTTAACAGATTCGATTTTCTATGCGTCTGCTCAGTTACATTACACACCGAACTGTGCAACATACGAATTCATCAAATATTTTAAAGCCTTCTTTGATCATATTAAATACTGATTAGACGGACGGCAACAGAAAACTTTTGTTAAGATCCTCACTCTTTGAGGAAACCCTCCAAGCTTTATGGTCAATAAAGGCATCATTAGCAGTGATCAGGTTAATCTCTTTCTTGGGGCCGGGGGGAGTACTCCCTGTACTGGGGAGGCACCCCCCAAAAGGGGTACCCCTCTCAATCGTCTGGTGTAGGAATTTTGCTAGTCGAAGTATATGATCTGTAAAATGACTTAAGAGGACCAGATAAGATTTTTTGGCTGTGAAAAAGTCGAGCAAATTTTCTAGTTTGTTATTTATTCATATTAAAAAGGAAGTGCATTTTTCAGTAATGAAAAGGGATAAAGTTAAAGTTCTTTTCTGTCAAAAATGATACTCAAAAGGATAAGGGGTTGGACCTCAGGGCAGAGCTCTAAATAATAATGGCTGGATGAAGGAATGGGGAATCACGTGATAACCTTAACGTTCCAAGAGCCCATTTTAATGGGCTTTACGTGGAAGCTTCACCCAAAAGGAGTACCTTTTTAGGCCACATGAATATGGAAAAGTAGGAATTTCACGAGTATATAAAATGTGTGAAATGGTACGTCATTTTGTACCTTCGGTAATTTACATTAAAGATATTTTAAACAGATGTACCTTTATTGTAGGCTTTATGTTAAGAGCTTAATGGCTTAAAAGTGAAGTAGTCGTACCATTTTTCAAGGTAGGCAGGAAAGGAATGTATATGACAGGGGTACCTTTTCTGTCAAAAATGCTGTATAAAAGGGGTTGGACCTCAGGGTGGAGCCTCCCTGTAAACTCATGAAGCTAAGAAGCCCATATATTCTACTAAAAAATTTTCTCTTTTTCCAATAGACCTCCTTCGCTTGAATGTTTTGTTTTCCCAATAGGGTTCATGTCTAACGGTCAAATTCCCCTGGGACCTCTTTTAGGAAACCAAAACATACAAGCTATAAAGAGGTCTATTGACACTGTCTAATAATTGACTAGAGCTCTTCTAAGCCTTGAATAGTTCTTGTTTTCTATTCATAACAGATATGAGCTGATTACTGAATGTTGGAACGAAGACCCTTCCATTCGTCCCAGTTTCTACCGTTTGATCGAAAAAATGGAGGTGATAATGGAAAGGGATGCACCATATTTGGATGTAAACAAACACAATGAATATCATCCGTATTACAACGTGCCACCTGAAGCTAGTGCTGATTAATATGAAGAAGAAGGAGCATCCCCAATAATCGGACAGTTTAAGATGGAACAAGTATAAACAGCTAAATCAGCATGTAATGGACTTAGAAACTAAGCCAAGAAAATACTGAAAGAATTAAAACTAACAAAAAAGGAGCTTTAATTATAACAAAAAGTGTGTAACAGTAAAGCCATCCAGATCTAATCAGGAGCCCATCATCCAGGAATGTAAACCTCTCTTATAGTGTGTTTAGATTTTTAATAGGCTATTTATAGATTACTCTTTCACGAAAATAAAAAGTGGGACTGAGTAGGATTTCCAGCAATCAGCGGATGCTGTCAAAGAAGTATAAAGCTATTAATAGTGATTAAGCTTTTAACTGAATGACGAGCCTTAAAAGTAACATAAACACTTAAATGCATAGTTATTGACTCAGAAACTAAGCTAAGAAAATACTGAAAGAATTAAAACAAACATAAAAAGAGCTTTAAGCATTAAAAAAAAATGTGTAACACTAGGGCCCTCCAAATCTAATCAGGAGCTCATCATCCAGGAATGTAAATCTCCGTTATAACGTGTTAAGATTTTTACTAGGCTATTTATAGACTAATCTTTCACGCAGAAAAAAGAAGGGAACTGAGTAGGATTTCCAACAATCAGCGGATGCGATCAAAGAAGTATAAAGCTATTAACAGTGATTAAGGTTTTAACTGAATGACGATCCTTAAAAGTTAGCCACTATCTGAGAAGATCAACCGCCATGTTGGATTTCACCGAAGTTGTTTTTAGTGCACAGCCAATTTTTCGTAAACGATTGACGTAATGTCTTACCCTTTCACCGACAATGCAATGCAAAAGAGTGTGATATCCGGTTGCTAAAATGCTCGTCATTCAGAACGTTGAAAACATTTGGGCTGAAATAGTAGGTTTATTAAGCACCCACAGATTTGCCATATAATAACCATTTAGTTTCTCTACGGGCTCAAGATGTTAAATTAAAACAAACTTTTGTTTTTGTTTTTTAGAAGACAGTTATCGGATTAAGTGCCCTTCTTAAAATACAAACCAGCGTTAGCTCAAGCCTCTGATGAGATATAGTTCCATGACCAAAAATAACGTACCTTAAAAAAAGAGAGAGAAAGAGAAAGCCTTAAAAAAGGAGAAAAACTTTAACGAAAGGGCCTTAAAACATCCATCTTGGTACTTTAGGATACAAAAAAAAGCTTTGATCTTAGCCCCGCGGGCATTTGTACGGTGAAATCTCGCTTAGAAGCCCCCGGGTTTCAGGGCAAGATGGGACAAAAGTTTTTCTTCAGTGGGCCTCCTGTGGCTTTAAACTGTCAATAGCGTATAGGGTGACTTAAAGTCAGTATATACATAAAAAAAACCTTGCAATGGTTGGAATGAAGAATTACCTGTCTTCTATATTCACTGGCATTCCTCCACGCACTCCGCACTCCCATTCTCCGGTGGAGTTTCAAAGGATTTCCGACTACAAGTTACCCTATATTTATTACTGTCAGTATTGTAAATTATAGACGGGGGGTTTAAATAAGAATCTAGGGTTTACATATTTAACTATTGTTTTAATGGTTTGGAAAATCCTTATGAGATATGCAGAGACTGGCTGAAATACCTGTAACGCTATCAGTGTGATTAAAATAACATTGTTCCGCACTTGACTTGATTATACTTTGGCATTTCTCGTTTCAAATTAGTAATCATGTAAATGGTTTGACCAATGAATGACTGCATGACCTGATAAGTCATTAACGTCGCGGTATTCCTTTGTTTGTCCGTCAATTAAGCCATGGTGCCCTTGGATCATTTTTTTGTTAAACTAAAACGTCCTTTGTCATGGTTATATCTTTCATTACATTTGTCGGCAAATTGCAAGTTACAAAAACAAACAAGTATTCGATACATCCTTGCCATTGTTTCCACGTGATCTAATTGATTAAAACAAGAAACGCCTATAGGATGCTTGACCTCGGTGGCCATGGAAAAGTATACAAACGTGTATGCATCACTGAAGTGTCGTAATTTTACTGGCTGGTCACCAATCACGTCTCCATAGATCCCTTTTGGCCATGTGTTAAGTGTCCTGACGCGTTTTTGGTGCTGACCAGAGAGAAAACGGGTTCTTGAGATTAGATTGGCTGATGACAACAGCCGCAAAGAATCCAACAAACCAATCATAGCTGTTATAACAACGCCACAACAATCAACTTGCGCCATGAAAGCAAAAACGAATGCCGTTTGGGTGCAAGAAATGTTTGAGCCAATTTTAAGCGCAGTGATGTCAAATCAAGCACACAGTCAATGAAAGACTACCCTGGATGCCAGACGTCTTCCCGCTCATTAGCTACCATGGAGAAGGCAAGAGCGAAGTGCTAAAGTGCTGGCCCCAGTTGTTCAAAACGTGGATAAAGCTATCCACTGGTTAAATCTCTATCTAGTGGATAACGTACTCAGTTTCCCTAATACTTATCCACTGGATAGTGATTTATCCGGTGGATAGCGCAATCCGTCGTTTGAACAACCGGAGCCTGGTCGGCGAGAGATTATATTTTCTCGCAGCTTCGCGACTCGCTTTCGCGGGTTCCAATGGGAAAAAGACCTCTGGCACCCTGTGTGGTGAAAGACCAAATAACGTTTTGCAAAGGCGTTTCTGGGTTAATGGCTGGAAGAAGGCGTTCTAGTAAAACACGTTAACTATATTTACCTCTTTAAACTATTATATGAAGTAATTTTACACTTCTCAGCCCTAAATCCCCGCCAGTGCACATATTACTATATTTTGGCTGTCTCATGATATTCGGGAAACTTCAAGGATCCAGCGTAGTCTAAGAAAATAACCTCAACGGAAAGCTTCATTTTCCCAATTTTTTTTTTTTTTTTTAACCAGGGCGGGGTTGTTTAGTAAATCAGATCAATTCACATTTCAACACAGGCGGCCCAAACTCAAGTTACGAGGAAAGGGTGTAAAGTAATTTAGCACATACAACCAGGAGCCGATTACTTATATCGGCTCCTGATGCCATAGGATACTATACGCGCTGGCGGTGTGCGTCACGTGATTCGACCAATCAGAATGCGCTATTTGTAATCAAAAAGAGTGATTTTCGCGCTTGGAAAGAGTCGTTTTAGAGTTGTATATGGTGAAATTTTCAATTTATTCCAAGCTTGGATAGGTAAATTTCGACATTGATACCGCCGTGGAAAGTTGTTGGAACACTTCATCTTGATAGTAGTTACGCTACTTTTAAATATTTTGCTTTCTTGAGAGTTTGATATAAGTTTGAATTGCTCGGTCATATGTGGAAGCCGCCACAATGATTCGAGTGTTATTTTCGCCGTTCCTCTTGGATTTATTATTGGTTACTGTTAGCGGTTTTATTTTGGTCATCTCGTTAGTTCAACCTTTCTTCTTTGTAAATTTTGGGGTCTACTCGGGTCTATCCCTGATAGTTTTCTCGTTGTGAGGCGTTGAAAGTGTCTTGGATTGAAGAGATCGTCTCAGCCATCCTGTCTCAGCCAAGTAGCACAAGTTTCGGAAAACGGGCTGAGAAAACATACCGAAACGGAGCCGACGTGAAGCGAGTAACGCCACCAAATGCAGCGTTCGTTCCATTTTAAACCAGAATAGGTAAATAAGTTTGAATACTGGAAACAAAACATTTTTCATAACGCAGTGCGGAAACTAAAAGCGTATCTCCAAAATAATTTGCATGCCCTGTGTGCTATGAGTATGCAAATCGTCTTGTAAACTTAAGCTTACGTGTAGGGAATATGATTTGTTATAAATCTCTACCAAAACACGAGACCGTTATCGAAGATCTAGACAACATCATACAGGATTTTAAAACTGTGAGATTAGGTTTGTAACAGAATCGATACACTGCGCTCACTTCAGTGAACGCACAGACAAGATCGTGGATTATTTCTGCGCGCGTAGCTTTGGTGAAATTCCCATTGTGCTGTAGCTGTTCGGCTCTTTTGGTCTGACAGCTGCTTTTCCCTCGCCTAACAGAAGATTTATTTGCGCATAAGGAATAAAAACAGGTACTAACTGTTTGCAAAATAAAATATTCTTGTCGATGAAAATAAAACTGTTACCTTGCTCTTTGCTTGCGCTCCCCTTCCGTGCCCGGTAATAAAGTCCATCAAACACTACTAATGGACGATTTTTTAAAATTTATTTAAGCAAATCCAAGTATGAACTACAGATCTCTTTTACTTTGAGACAAAAATATACATATTAACACAGCGGAAGCAGGAAATCGCCACCTAAAATAGCCTAAAATCTCACCTCCGATCACCTCCGAATCGATCGCGATGAACTTATTGAAATTTCCTTATGAAGCCAATAACCAAGAATCTAAGGCCACTAAGAGATCTTCAAAATTCTCCAAATCGCTCTCTTCCGTAATGTGTTTCAGAAGATAAGGAAGCCGTGTTTTGAGTCAGGGTTTTGATTCATTTCTCTCACGAGATGTGTACAATCCTCGGAGAGTCAGGGGCAGTCAGTCGGGTCGGGAGAAAAGGTGGGACGAAAGTTTTCAAATACGGGAGAAAGAGCTTCTGGGTACCGACTCTCACCGAACTATTTCCAAAAATTAAACGGATTCCGGCTCCTGATTGGGCAGAAAAAATGCATTGTATTATTGTGCCCAATCGGCGAACAGTTTCTCCTGAGTTCTTTTCGTGAGTTCATACACGACGGCTATTTTCTCGTCAAACAAGCCTATCGACGACAAAAGCCAAGAAGCGGCGAGTGGAAGCTTCAGGTACTGTGTCATTACACCACGGGCATCTGTTATTACAAATTTACTCCTAAAGGTGGGTGAGTTAATTATGCACAGTGCAAACCCTTTGATAGGTCAGAGATGGAATTCGATGTGCTGCCATTAAGAAGCTGTTAACAATGTGTCTGGTCTCTCTTTGACCAAGAGGACTGTTCCTGATATACAGTATTACTTGCTTGAAGCTGGTTGTAAGAGATTCAACTCTGTTGGTCT